CAGTGAGGTAGAGACTACATCCTGCTTCACCTTTAACCAACCAGTGACAGCCTTAAAGGGCGAAGCCTATACGAAATAGAACGTTGGTTACGTACTATAACCCCAGATTCTATGAGTATAGGCCTAGCCCTTTAAGCTCTGGGCCTCACTGGCTCCTAAATCTGAGTTAAGTTTACAAATCGCTGAACAGTTTGGGCCCCCCCATCTCTCTGATCTGCTACAACCATATGTCCCACCACGTTCCCTGAGGTCAGCGGACCAATTGCTCCTCACAGTTCCAGGAACTCGTCTTAAGCGCAGAGGTGACAGGGCCTTCTCTGTAGCAGGACAAAGACTTTGGAACGAGTTACCTCTGCTTGTCAGACTGGTCCCCTCCCTCTCGGTTTTCAAATCCCATTTAAAAACTCACTACTATTCAGTAGCTTTCAACACCAGAGGATCTGTGTTTTGAACCTGTATGCTACACACTGGCTTGTCATCATATTTATTATCTGCATCGATTTTATATCTATATTTTTGATTTACTGCATTTTGTATATTGCTTCGTGTGCTATCTGTTGTTCTGTCTGTACAGCACTTTGGTTGGCCTTGTAGCTGTTTTAAGTGCTCTATAAATAAAATGGTATGGTATGGGTATGGTAAATGGCTGAAGAAAAAAGCTATTTGAGAGCTGATTACCCGCTCTCAACGTAATTTATACAGACCGGGTGGGGCCCCCACAACAGGTGGGCGTGGATTAAATTTTTCAGTGTGGCGCTTTGCGTGACGGGATAAAACCCACCAGCGACAGCCCTAAAGGGCTACGCCTATATTCAGAATCTGGGGTTACAGTACGTAACCAACGATTTAGGTTAGGTATCGGATCGGAAGTTATAAAAAAATGTGGATCAGTGCATCCCTAGTTACCTGTTAGATGTTGATTTTTATGTTTGTTCATTTGTTTTGCTTTTTGTTATCTCTATTTTTATTCCTGTATCCTTTTTTAGTGTTTTAGTGATTGAGTGTACATTTGTTTTATTGTAATCTACTGTACTGTGCATCACTTCGTTCCACTGAGGAGTTTTAAGGGCTTTATGAATACAATTAGATCAGGGGTGCCCACACTTTTTCAGCATTCAAGCTACTTTTAAAATTACTAAGTCCAAGTGATCGGCCTACTATAAAAAAACAAAACATGTACTTATTTATAAACATATTAAGGATGCTTTTTATGTTTATGTTCTTGTTTTTAGTATTTCACCATGTTTTATATGGCACCTTGATTTATTGTTTATAACACTACTTTTATTTTAATTGCATTTGACTGCAGTTTATTGTTGTCTGTACTTTATATGTTGTCTGTCTAAAACTGGTCTCTCTTGTAAATGAGTCCTTGTGACTCAATGAGACTAACCTGGATAAATAAATGTTGAACGAATGAATAAGTCCCAGCTCATTGTTGACGCAACATAAATGACAAAACCCAATGTTTTTTTTTTTAAATTGACAATTTATTTTTACTGTCCGCGTACAAAATAATAAACAAAACCCAGCAATAACTTCTGTTCTTCACACAAAGAAACTAAAAACAACAAGAATAACTTCAAGTTTGAAAGATAATCTGAAAATTTGAGAACAAAAGTGAAAATTTAGCCCTGACATCAGCGGTTTTTAATTGTAACCGTATTTCTTGATACCTGAGAGCTTTGATGTAAGATAATATTTCTGGTTTGTTTTAAAAGTCTCTGAACAATGAGTCTGCTGCTTCATCAAATGCCTCTTTAACCATGTCTCCGTCTTGAAAAGACTTCTTGTGCTTAACAATTATTAAAGTGACTTACCCGGAATGATGCTTCACTGCTGTGGTCAGCTGTAGGAAAAATTACTGTTGTCCAGATAACTAGGATTTCAGTTCCTTCGCCATTTTCTTTCTCAGCTCACGTTTCAGAAGGAAGTCAGAGCTGTAGTATTTATAGTCTGAAAATGCCGCTCCGGTAAAACGCACTTCGAATATGACATTGTGAAAAAAAAAAGTCCTCACCCCATTCCAAATGGAAATGGTAGATTTTTTTTTGCTTCTTACTTGGTCCAGCTCTCCAACTCATTTTACACACTTTCTTGAGTTTAGATATAAACTGGGGGCTATTATGAGTCAACTCGTTTGTTTTTAGCGCGGTTGAATGCGCATGCGTGGTGACCTATGCGTCAGAAAAAAATCCGATCTCTGATTGGCTGCCCTTTGTGTCAATCATGGGCGCCGTTGTTTGCGCATGTGTGGTGACCTATGTGTCAGAAAAGGTCGGTATCAGATTGGCTAACCTGTATGTCAATCAAGTGATGATTTGCATAGTGAAGATAGATTGATCGGCTGACATCTATTTAAAAAAACACATTAAAAGAAATTTAAAAAAAGGTCTGACATCTATTTCGCTGTGCGATCTACTGATATTACCTTCACGATCTACCGGTAGATTGCGATCGCCGTATTGGGCACCCCTGAATTAGATATTGTATTGGATAAATGGAGCATTCGCCCACTTTTTTTTTTTTTCTCCCCTTGTCCTGTCCGGCATTGTGACACTTAGAATTATTGTCTGAGTGTCAAAGTGATGCCCAACAGTTTTACTTTCACAAGCAGAGCATTATGGCTGGTCTTAATGCTCCACTTGATATATAAATTAAATTTTATTAGAATATGCTTTGGGTTTGTTTCAGATGTAATGGACACGGGGACGGAAAACAAAGAAGATAAAGCAGAAAAGTGAGAGAAGGGTTAAAAGGTAAAGAAGGAGATAGGAAGAGAGGAGAGAGAGAGGGATAAAGAGAACACAAATCAACATAATTGAAGTCTGACTCTAGACCTGCGGAAAGAGAAAAAAATAAAAATAAAACCCCCGACAAAACCAAGAAACCACAGCAACAAACAACTTATATAATGATAGTTATAACATCATTAGAAAGTATTTTATACATTACATGGTAATACAATATATATTTGATGGCCACCACAACCCAACTGAGTGTGTATCTGATAAACACCTGGATCTGAACACCTGTGTGAGCATGCTTATCACTATAAGGTTTCTCATAAAAATGTTCAATAGTGGATGTGGGGACCCATAAACCCGTCCCCACAGGACACAAAGGTAACACAGGGAAGCCCGGAACCACAGACACACAGCGGCCCCCAAGCCCGGAACTCCAGTAGTCCCCCAAAAGGGACACCCGCACCCCCCAGAGAGAGAAGCAAAGGGAAGCCCCGGGTGATCCCCAGCAAGCACAATGCAGAAACCCCCAGGAGGCCGTAGCGACGAGTCAACAGGCCCCGCTGGCAACCCGCCCCTCCAGAGTGGATCCGGCCATGGACACCAAGCCACGAGTCCCGAGGTCATACCATCCCCCAACAGAGGCCCGACAGAGCCAGGGCACCCAGGCCCCCGCAGGCAGCCACCAGGGCGGGCCTGCACACACCCCACCACCCAGCCCCAGCTGCTGAGAGCCACCAATGCACCGGCAGCAGGGGGGCCCACCACCAGGGGGGAGCACGACCCACCAAATGGGGGCCAAAACTGGTCCAAGAGAGGGATCTACTGATATTACCTTCACGATCTACCCGTAGATTGCGATCGCCGTATTGGGCACCCCCTGAATTAGATATTGTATTGGATAAATGGAGCATTCGCCCACTTTTATCCGAGCATTATTTTTGTTAAATGTGTCTGTTATCCTTGAGATGTAGGTGAACAAAAGGACCACTGACATTATGCTCTGATTTTAAACCTACCTGCAAACTTGTCACTTTTTGGCAAAAATCGCCAATTTCAATCAAAAGTATGTAATTTATGTGGATCATCTAGATCAAAAGAGTTTTATTTTTATTTATTTTTTTTGGGGGGGGGGGGGGGCGAGGTGTCAGAGGCGTGGTAGATGGCATAACTTCCCATTGACTAGATATACGTAGCGCTAAGTGTTTTTGCAACCTGTGCTCCCAGCAAAGCTTATGCTAGCTCGTAAGTGCTAAGCTAGCGCATAAGCATTAAGCTAGTGCACTTACCTTGTGCTAGCTTAGCGTTACGTAAGTGTCGGAGCTGTCAACCTGGGAGGAAAGGGGTTAGGATGAGTTACAGAAGCAGAGTGCTACATCTGTAGCATCTTAGTTAGCACATTTGTATTGTGCACAATTAGCTTAACACTATGTATTTAAGAAACATGTTTTGCTATTAGCAAAACGCTCTGCTATATTTGGTTTCTGTTGTTGGCTTACTGCTGTTGTTGCTACTCGTACTTATTGCTAATTGTATGAATTTTTTTTTAGGAAAGTTGATAAATTAAAATGTTTTAATGGTCTACCTTTGTACAAAGCTGGATATGTGTACCCCGTCCCACCGACCATTAATACCAAAGGTATCTGGGTTATTTTCTGCCTTGTCTTATTTCAGCTTCCTAAAGTAACAGTGAAAGCTTTGGTTTGGCCAGACACCAGCCTCTCGAAATGGTTGAATGGCCCATTTACCTGCATGGCTCATCTTCATTCAGTGTTGCTGAGCTCAGGTGCACTCAGGATCATGTCGTGGCTGCATCATTATAAAGTTAACTGATAGCTTCTGCTGCTGCTACTGTAGAGGCTCTTTGCTTCCTTAACCTCCTCTGGACTGTACCATGTCAAAGCAGAACAGGGGCTTGTTGACTTTTGAGACAGTTCTTGCAACAAAGCTATTTTTTTTTTCTCAGCTGACTGCTGCAGCCCATCCACCCCCACCTTCACTAATTCATAGCCGCTAGCTCTCAGTTTCCCAGGGTGTTTGGCCTAATAGCTCCTGCCACCTTGGATTTCAACCCCCCCCCCCCCCCCTCCCCCTCCGCATATAGCACAATCTTGTCATTTCCAGCTTGTGGAGGGAGGGAAGGGAGAGTGTGTGTGTGAGTGTGTGTGTGGGAGAGAAAGAGAGAGAAAGAGGGAGGGAGATGTTTTGAGCTGGTTTGCAGGAAGAGAGGTTGGCCTGAATGCGTTCTGTCTGCTCTTCAGAGACATCCAGGTGAGCAGTTTCCTCTTGGAAGGTAAGAGGAAGAGTGAGACTGGTGCTCCTTTTGTCCTGCATCCCTGATCCCGATCTCCTTTCCTCCCTTGCTTTGGATACAGCCCTTCTGTTAGCATCTCTATGTGTGAATGTATGTGTGTTTATGAGCATGAACAGTACTCCCCAGACACACAACACACACATAACACTGAGGCAATGAGCAGATGTGCAGACATGACAGCCAGTGTGTGTAGATTAGATATGAATCTGACAAGATTTAGTGCATGTGTCAAAGATTTTTAATAACTGAGTGTCATGCTAACCGGACTGGACCACCTGAGTCAGTGTGTCCCAGTGGAGAGGATATGACGAGACACTCCGGGTTTAGAAAGGAAGTTGAAGGGATAAAGGAGAAGGAGGTTTGTGGCTGCAGTTTCTGTAAAGACCTCAATGCTGTCCTTTGCTTGTAACTGGACCCCCCCCCCCCCCCCCCCAAAAGGAAAAAAAAAAATCACTGTTTTACTAAAAGGACATGCTTTGGTTTTGGTGGGGACCTGCATGCTTACGTGTTATGGGCTAATGGAATTGGATGTCCCTGCTGCAGCATTTTTTTCTGCTCACCCTACAACACATCATCTCGCTTCAGGGCAATTTTGCAACATGCTCTTCTTTTTCCAAACCATCAGGAATGGAGTGTGGGTACTGTGGGAAAGACCAAGGAGAAAGTGACAAGTTGTTCGACATCTGGAAGAGTATCTTGTGGACTTGTAGAGAGTCAGGGTCATATGCAGCTCATTGGGAAGGCTGCAGGCCAGATTGTTGAAAATATAAGATGGACCCAGAAAGCTAAAATTCTATGCTACATTCATAATGCAGGCAAAAGTGACCCAAAAACAACAGTTGTTTTACTTCTTTTTAAAGAAGTTACTTCTTTGCCCATATGTGACACATGTCTGATATTTTTATGACACTCTGAACCACAGGCATCACAACAATTATATGTGAAGGGGACATGTACCCCCACACGAGCTGCTGTAGTTTTGGTGAATTGTTTTTGTACTATTAGTACATTAGTGCTTAGTGTATTCTTGTGTATTCTTAGTTTAGTCAATGTAATATATTCTTAATTCACGACACGGATCTTACTAATGTTTTTCTTTGCAATTTGTGTTTTTGTTGAATGTAACTGGGACACTGTGTGCATAGTTTCGTCCCACCTCATGTACCATATGTTATGAGTATGACAAATAAATCTCTCTGACATTTAAAAAAATATCCATTCGAACACCCCCTCACACACACATTTACCATGAAATATTAGTTCACCCAGCACTGTTTCTATTGCTTGGTGAACAAATCTATTCCACCTTATTAATAGGAGAATACTCAAATCACTAAAAATCTCCACTCCAGGTTTTCCTGGTTACCTACAACTCCAGGCAGTGTTTCCCTGAGGTTATCTGCCTTGGCAGAGCGCTCATGGGGGGAGGAGGGGGAGACATCTCTGTTTTGTGTGCTAGCTTAGTGCCACATTACTGCTGGCAGTTGGTGATCAGGGTGGGGGGTTAGGATGTGTGAGAGAATCACAACGCTACGTCTGTAGTATCATAGGTAACGTGTCTGTATTGCGTGTTGCTAGCTTACTACTACATTAGTTCTGGCAGTTTTCAACACAGGTGGGGGGGTGGGGGTTGCATGAGAAAAGTGGAACGTGCTGTATTCACACAAGAAGAGCTGTTGGTCAGATTACTTCTTGTTGCTCACTAAAATAGTTATTGAATCAAATGTTTATTTATGTAGGTAAACAGATGTTTAACAGCCTGCTAAAATACGCCAGAATGCAGGAAATGACATCCACTTTATTCAAAATTTTCTGGAGGAGGAGTCCCAGATTCCCCCCCCCCCCCCATCCCACACACATATTACTAATGTTTCTGATGCCAGTGCTCCAAACAACACAAATTAGTTTTTTCTAATAAGACCTAGGTTACATTCAAATAGGTCCTAAATCGGATGGTAAAAGATGTTTTTCAAAGCAGCTTTAGTTGTCTTGTCACATCCATCCAAAATTTACATAATTGAAGTGTGACAGATGTCACATTTCTGCACCATAGTAGGCAAGAAGTAGCAAGATCAATTCAAGTCCATTCAGTTTATTTATATAGCACCAAGTCACAACAGCAGTCGTCTCATGGCATTGAACAAAAACATTCACATACATTATAAAAGACATTTAGTAAAAGTTATCGATCTAAGGAAGCAGAAGATTGTGTTGAATCTTCACGTCATCACAATCATCCTGAGAAAGCACAAAGGAGACATTGGAAAGGAAAATATTCCTTTTAACAGGAAGAAACTTCCAGCAGAAACAGGCTCTGGACAAGTGGCCATCTGTTCGATCATCCAGCGGCACGCACCAGCTGGATTTGAGAGGACAGGAAGGAGAAACAAACAAACAGAGAATGACAGGTCCAGGTATATTTTCTGTAGGACTTCTACTGATATACACCTAGACTTGTCTAGGTGGTTTTCATTATAAGATGAGTGTCGGCCAATGAAAGACCCTGAAGCCCCACCTTCAACCTGAGTAGGGCCAAGTCAAGCCCATGGAAAAGGCCAATAATGTGACATCACATTGAGCATTCTAGTCACTTCAGAGTTGTAGACTGTTCACAGTGGTTGTCACATTTAAATCATAATAGGAATTATAACACAAAAAGTCCAATCTCATCAAATAAAAAAAAAATCCAAATTGAACATGAAGCCCTGCACTGTGAACATAACTTTAGATTGTGAATGATGGTGTGAGTGCTATGCACTCTGTGTTCTGTTGTAAAATAGATTTATATCAGTCCATCCATCTATCCATTTTCTTCCGCTTATCCGGAGTCGGGTCACGGGGGTAGCAGCTTAAGTAGGGAGGCCCAGACTTCCCTCTCCCCAGCCACTTGGGCCAGCTCCTTCAGGGGAATCCCGAGGCGTTCCCAGGCCAGCCGAGAAACATAGTCCCTCCAGCCTGTCCTGGGTCTTCCTCTGGGTCTCCTCCCGGTGGGACGTGTCCGGAACACCTCACCAGGGAGGCGTCAACTGGCTCCTCTCGATGTGGAAAAGCAGCGGCTCTACTGTGAGTCCCTCCCAGATGATCGAGCTTCTCACCCACCCAGGGAAAGCCCAGACACCCTGCGGAGAAAACTCATTTTGGCTGTTTGTATCCGAGATCTTGTTCTTTCGGTCACAACCCAAAGTTCATGACCATAGATGAGGGTAGGAACGTAGATCGATCGGTAAATTGAGAGCTTCGCCTTTTGACTCAGCTCTCTCTTCACCACGACAGACCTGTACATTGCCCGCTTCACTGCAGACGTGGCACCTATCCGCCTATCGATCTCACGCTCCATTTTTCCCTCATTTGTGAACAAGACCCCAAGATACTTGAACTCCTCCACTTGGGGCAGGACCTCCTCCCTGACCCGGAGAGGGCACTCTACCCTTTTCTGGCTCAAGACCATGGCCTCGGATTTGGAGGAACTGATCTTCATCCCAGTCGCGTTGCACTCGGCTGCGAACCGCTCCAGCGAAGCCTGTAGATCACGATCTGAAGAAGCCAGTAGGACCACATCATCTGCAAAAAGCAGAGACGCAATCCTAAGCCCACCAAAACGGATCCCCTCAACACCTTGGCTGCGCCTAGAAATTCTGTCCATAAAAGTTATGAACAGAATCGGTGACAAAGGGCAACCTTGGCGGAGTTCAACTCTCACCGGGAACAAGCCTGACTTACTGCCGGCAATGCGGACCAAGCTCTGACATGGGACATACAGGGCCCTAACAGCCTGTATCAAAGGGCCCGGTACCCCATACTCCCAGAGTACCCCCCACAGGGTTCCCTGAGGAACATGGTCTAACGCCTTCTCCAAGTCCACAAAGCACATGTAGACCGGTTGGGCAAACTCCCACGCACCCTCCAGGACCCTGCTGAGAGTGTAGAGCTGGTCCAGTGTTCCACGATCATGACAAAAACCACACTGCTCCTCCTGAATCCGAGGTTCAACTATCCGGCGGACCCTCCTCTCCAGAACCCCCGAATAGACCTTACCAGGGAGGCTTAAGAGCGTGATCCCCCTGTAGTTGGAACACACTCTACGGTCCCTCTTTTTGAATAGGGGGACCACCACCCCTGTCTGCCAATCCAAGGGAACTTCCCCTGATGTCCACGCAATATTGCAAAGTCGTGTAAGCCAACACAACCCTACAACATCCAGAGCCCTAAGGAACTCCGGGCGAATCTCATCCACCCCTGGGGCCCTGCCACCGAGGAGCTTTTTAACCACCTCGGTGACCTCGGCACCAGAGATTGGAGGGCCCGACCCAGAGTCCCTAGGCTCCGCTTCCTCAGTGGAAGATGTGCCAATGGGATTGAGGAGGTCTTCAAAGTATTCTGCCCATCGACCCATGACATCCCGAGTTGAGGTCAGCAGCACACCACCCCCACTATAAACAGTGTTGGTGGTGTACCGCTTTCCCCTCTAAGACGCCCGATGCTGAACCAGAATCGCCTGAAAGCCGTGCGGAAGTCATTATCCATGGCCTCTCCGAACTCCTCCCATGCCTGAGTTTTTGACTCAGTGACCGCCCGGGCCACATGTCGCTTGGACTGCCAGTACCCATCAGCTGCTTCCGGGGTCCCACAGGCCAAAAAGGCTCAATAGGACTACTTCTTCAGCCTGACAGCATCCCTCACTGCCGGTGTCCACCACCGGGTTCGAGGGTTGCCCGCCGCGACAGGCACCGACAACCTTGCGTCCGCAGCTGCGGTAAGCCGCCTCGACAATAGAGGCACGGAACATGGCCCACTCGGACTCAATGTCCCCCACCTCCCCCGGAACATGTTCGAAGTTCTCCCGGAGGTGGGAGTTAAAGCGCTGTCTCACAGGAGACTCTGCCAGACATTCCCAGCAAACCTTCACAATACGTTTGGGCCTGCCAGGTCTGACCGGCGTCCTACCCCACCATCAGAG